CGGGCCAGTCCTCACCAGAGTGAGAAACAGACGGTGTCTTTGCGAACTGTGCGCTGCCCCTTGACCTAGATGTCCCCCGAGACCGGTCCGTAGAGTCCTCATGGACTCCCTGCACTTGGAGAGAAGTAAATCACCAGTCCATCTTTTGGCAGCTGCACTCTGCTCTGGTCAGTGTCCTAGCAAGCACACAGCTCTTTTCTGACAGGTGGCTGGTGGTAGCATGCATGTGTGTGTGTGTGTGTGTGTGTACTGTCCAGGACTCAAACCTGGGTCTCCTGACTGGCAGGTGAGAATTCTCACTACCACTGAGCCACTGCGGTTCCCACGGCATTACGGTGGCACTTGGTATCTGTATCTGCAGATTAGCACCATGCCCCATTGGGTCAGTGATTGAGTGTCTGGTTGCTAACACAGAGGTCAGCAGTTCAACCCCATCAGCCTCTGCGGCAGGGAAAGCCTGGCTGTCTGCTCCTTCCTGTAAAGTCTGCGGCCTGTGGAGCCAGTGCCCTTGGTCCCCAAGGGTAGCTGTGAGTCGGGTGTGCTGGCAATCACAGTATCCCGCAGTACCTCAGATGAACGGCTTGGCCACGCGGTGGCTTCTCTCACGACTGACAGACACTGGTATTCCCAGCCTCGGCATCTCTGGCCTGTGGCTCTGGAAGGCCTTTCCCCGTTAGTGCCCTGTTCATTTTCCTGTCCCCGCTTTCAGATGGCGGTACCTGTGCACACCCGGTTTCAGAGTGATCCTGTGAGCGTTATCGGAGGACTTTGTGGATGGGCCAGACAAGTTCTAGGAATTCAGATCCAAGTCCCCAGATCTTTATCTCGGCCCGGCTGGGAAGCAGGTGTGTGTGTGATTTTTAAGGATCCCATCCTCTTGAGTTCTTGCTGGAATTAAGGTTTCTTGGGCTCACCTTTAGGAATGCTTGTCGTGTTGGGGGCTTTTGTTGTTGGCTTCCCTCCCCCTTGGGGCTTTTCCCCTCCGTAAAGGACAGTACTATCTCACTGAGACGGGTCACCTACCATAAAATGTTCCTAGGTAGCAGTCACCAGTCTGCTTTCTGTCCGCAGATTCTCCTGATCTGACGGCTCACTGGATGGAAACCATACAGGGTGTGGTCTGTGGCTGGCGTCCTCCACCCTGTGTTGGGACTCCATTCCTCTTTGTGGCCGCATCATCTCGGCTTGTGTGGGTGTCCCCCGGTGCTTATCCCGCGGATGTCTGTGCTATTTCTATGCGATAGCTGTTAGGAGCACTGCTGCTGTGAACATCTGTGGACAGGTTTTGTGTGGATATTTTCTTTACACCAGTCTTTTGATTGTGGTTTGGGTGAAAGCTTACAGAGCCCAATCAAGTGTTCCATTCAGCAGTGAATGGAAGGGGCTTTGTGTCCTCGGTGTTTATACATTTGTTTCATCAGTTGCAATCCCTTCAGCGTTGCTGCACCGTCCCCACCTCCCCCCTGGGTCTCCCATCAGGGTGCCCTCCCCTCCGGCCCCTCTCTGCCTCCTGAGCTATTTCTGGTCTCCTGTGGTCACTAGGCCTGAGGAGTGTGTTTCTCACAAGTGTCACTGTTTGCTTTTCAGGCCTGGCTGGGTTTGCCAGCAAGGTGATCCCCAGGGGTGGGGTCAGTTGCAGGTTTGAAGGATGACTAAGGAACATAGTCTTGGGGGACCCACCAGTCTCAGACCAGAAAGCCAGATCTTTTTTAAAAAAATTTTTATGACTTAAGTTTTGCTTCACCTTTTTCTCCTGTCCTCTCCAGGACTGGCTACGGTCAGGGCACCATCTAGTCCTTCTGGTCTCGGGACTCAGGAGGCTGTGTACCGTGCAGTCCCTCTCTCCTTTTGGACTACTTGTTTCCTGGAGTTGTTGGCCTTTGCCGCTCTTCTCTCCTGATGGCTGGACAAGTGTTTTTATTCTTTGCCACATAGCTTCCAAATGGCATCGCTGGGCCCTGTGGAGACTAGGATTTTGAGAAACTGCCAAACTGTTTTCTAAAGTGACTGTGGCATTTTGCACTTCCACCAAGCAGTGTATGAGGGTTACAGGTGTTTTTTATTTTTACATCCTCCCTAATGCTTGCCCTTGCTTTTCCTTTTTATTATAGCTGTGTTTGTGGGTGTGAAATTGTAGCTCATGTGGTTCTCGTTTGCATTTCCCTCAAGACGAATGACATTGAGCATATTAAAATGTGCTTACTGGCCATTTGTATATTTTCCGTGAAGAAATGCCTTCAAATCCCTTGCCTATTATTATTTTCATTTTTATTACGGTGTGAGAGTCCTTGGTACATTATGGATGTTAATTTCTGATGGAATAATGATTTGAAAGCCCCCCCTCCCATCCTGCTAGGCGTTGGACTAATAAGTGCAAGGTTTGCCACTGTAACCTGCCTGCTCGCTGAAAGACTGGCAGACTGGGAAACCCTGGGGGTGCGCCACTGGGCTGGCTGTGTAGGGCTGTTAGGAGTTGGAATCGGGTGGGGTTTCCAATCAGACTGGAATCCTGTGGAACCTGTGTTTTCACTTAGCAGTGTTACTTATAACACCACGTTTCCATTTTTTATGTTCTCCAGTTTTTCTGTTGTGTTGGGTTACGTCCGATGAGATGGATTTAACTTGTGTCAGGCTCTATTTGAGGGGCCGTTGTTCTCGTTCCTAGGCCTTTTTGGTATTCAGTCACAGGTGCCTTGGGAAGATCTTGTCTGTATTTGACCAGTATGTTTGTCCTGAAGAATTATTCTTAATAGACAAAGTGTTTTTGATGTTTCATAATGAGAATAAATTAAAGAGAGCATTTCCTTGCTGGCCCATGCCCTTAACCACCCGCGCGTCTCTCATCAGCGTGGTTAGCTCCCAGGAGGGCGTCGTTAGGAAAGCATTGGCATGAAGTGCAAGTGGAGGGTGGCTGCAGCACTTCTCCCTTTCCCTGTACCGTGACAGCCCTGCCGAGGCCCTGTCACTGCTGCCTCCGCTGCTCTGCCCCACTGCCTCCGCATGGAAAGGCAGCCCGCTCCCAAGAGATGCCCCCCACCCAGGGTCTCTTCCCTTACTGTATTTTCAGGATGAGTGGCTCCAGGTCTTCCCTTAAGGCTCCCAAACACCCTTGGTAGCTTTGTCAGGGGGATGGGAGCTCCCTGTCCCTGGGAGTGTGGGCTTGGGTACTGCTAGGAGTGAGTGTGTGTGCTGCCCCATGAGCCCCCCCCCCCCCCCCCCCCCCCCATGTTTACTTAAGAGTTGACAATCCAGAACTTCCTTCAAGGCCATGATGCCAGATAGATCCAGCCTCTGCCCTGACCTTAAACTGTAGTTCTGAAAACAACAAAACAAAAAACTGTAGTTCTGCTGGCCACTCACCACTGAGCCTACCTCACCCAGGTAGCCTACCCCACCCAGGTAGCCTACCCCACCCTCACCTGTATCTGCCCAGGAGGGGGCATCTCGGAAACTTTAGAGCAGGGGTCCTCAAACTTTTTAAACGGGGCCAGTTCACTGTCCCTCAGACCGTTGGAGGGCCAGACTATAGTTTAAAAAAACTATGAACAAATTCCTACTGGCCTGGGACGAGTAGGCTGCTAAGCAGGACAGGCAGTGGCAACAAAAATAGGCGGGCCTGATAAATGACCTCAGTGGGCCGCATGTGGCCCGCGGGCCCGTAGTTTGAGGACCCCTGCTTTAGAGGATGCACAGGTGCTGGTCTGCTGATGTAGGTCCCTGAGTGCTCTGTCTCTTTGCTCCTAAGCACAGCCTCTCCTGGCCACCCTTGGGACACTGGGAACTCCCAGGCAGTGTCCCATTTCCATTGGCCCTACTCCCTCCCACCTCCTTCTGCCCCACCCAGCATCTTGGTGCCTCTGGAAGACTCCCCTTCCCCAAACCTTCCTACCCCCGCCTCTAGGCATAAAACACCGGTGCAGCTGGGCTTCCTTTCTGCCTGAGGCACCCCGTCAGGGGCCGCAGCATTGGTTACTGCCATCTCTACTGTGCAAAATAGTTGTTTTATTTTTCACAATTGTAAATGTAAAAGATCGGACAGTGTGATCATCGCTCAGCACAGAGTGGGCGTGGCTCTCAGCCCAGGCGGCTCTGCCCTCCAGGGGACATTTGGCAATGTCTGGAGGCATTTTGGGCTGTCACACTGGGCACAGAGTGCTACTGGCACCTAGTGGGTAGTGATCAGGGGTGCTGTTAAACCAGTATTTAAGACAACCTCCCCCTCCCCTAGCAAAGAATTATTTGACGCAAAATATTACTAGTGCCAGGGTTGAGAGACTTGACGATTCCGGGAGATCCTAAAACTTGAGTTATTGAAAAATTTGCCTTCAGTTCATATCTTGATAATCAAATAAAAGTTGCTAAACAAGTAAGGGGAAGTTCCATGTGGATAGATCCCCATGGACAAAATGGTGACAACATTGGTGATTTAAATTAAGGAGCATTTTGCTGAATTCTCAGTACTGCCAATTTGTTTGTAATTTATACTTATATAATAGGAACTATTCAAAAGGGAAGTGCCAGCCAAATAAAAAGAGATCATTCCTTACACCTTGACCTCTAAGCAGCCTTCACACACACACACACACACACACACACACACACACA